CCCCAGTGGACAATGTCTTGCATCAAAAGAGGTTTCACAAGTAATTTGGAGTGATTCAGGCAAGTTAATGGTTTTTTCCTCCTAAGAGGCAGGGCAAAACTCTTGCAAGTATTTCTCCAGAGAGCACATGGGTCCTCGGACACTGAAGTTTTTTGATGGATTGAAACCATTTAGAAAATGTTCTTTTCAGCACTAACAGTGGATGACGTGGGATGTTTATAATGGCAAAACAGGAGGGGGGGGCGGTGATTTGGAATGGGGTTGTGAGCGCTTGATGTCTTCTTAAAAGACATACTCTTGGTCTATTATTATCATAGGCTATGCAAGAAGCTGTGGAGATGCCCCACATCTATACCTCACCTAATGCAGTCACTCCACCCCAGAAAAAACTGCTCCAAGTTTTAGAGCTGTGTGTATATGTTTTTCTCATACTCAGTTGTCTTTTCATGGCAACAAGATGTGCTTGTTAAATTAAACCACAACTAGCATTTACAGAATCACTTCATGTGCATGAACGAAATCAAGTTTATTTTTTAAAGAAAAAACCCATCCTTCAGATGAATTATTACAGTAAATGCTACTGTGAACATTCTAGCCTGTGCTGATAACTGTGAGAATGTTTCAAACTGATGGTGTTTGTTGTTGTTTTTGTTGTTATTTAATGTTATGTTATTTAAAAACAGATTATGTTAAGTGTTCTGTAGCATGTTCCTTTCCCACCCAGATGGAAGCACCGGAAGGTAGGAAATACTCACCAAGCTTTGCAGGCACAGGTATTTGTGGCACTTGCCTTGAACTTGCAGCAAGTTCCCTCTTGTTTCACATGTGCAATTATTCAAAGGTGTAGAAAGATGTTATCTTTAGATAAAAATATGGCAAAATGATATTCTGAGGAGACCAAGACCTCCAGACACACTACCTAGGCTTGTGCCCCAGGGAGGTCACTTTGGTGCTGCTAACACAGCAAAAACAGTGTGGAGGCAGCTGTTACGAGTTGTTGGTCTCTGTAGCATTCTTTTCTAAGTGCTCACAGACCAGCCATTTAATTATCTGTTCTAGGACCTTTCCTGGTATCAGTGTCAAGCTCAGCAGTTGGTAGTTACATGAGTCTTCTCCCCCCCCCCCTTTGAAGATGGGGACCTCATCTGTTCTCCAAGAATTCGCAAAGATCATAGACAAAGCTTCTGAAATTACATCCGCCAGCTCCTTTAGTATACCCTTGGATGCAGCTCATCAGGCCCTGGGCGTGAATTCATTTAAAGTAGCTAGGTGTTCCCTTACCACCTCTTTTCCTATCTTGGGCTACGGCTCCCTCCTTACATCTTTTGCTGGGTATCACCAGGTTGGGCATTGCTTTCCTTTTGGGTGAAAACAGAGTCAAAGTAGGTGTTGAGCAGTTCCATCTTACATTTAATTAATTAATTAATTAATTAATAACAATAATATCCTGGCGAGCCACTGCTAGACAGAGTAGACAATACAGGGATGCTGAGCAAATAGTTTGGTCAAAGACAGATTCCTGTGTTCCTGGTGCATGAGTGAACTGTAGGCACTTTTCTTATAATTTCCAGAGTTGCACCTTAGTGAACTGATAATGGGTTCCATGGCTGAGACTTGGCTCAGACTGAACCTTGATCAGCAGTAGAATATTTTCCTTGCAAAATAAGGAAGAAAATATGCCCACAACAGATGGACATCCAGGGTACCAAGCCTTCTCTAGCTTGGATGTGCTTACTCTGCCAGCCAGAAGGGACAGAAACTGTCCAGGGCACATTATGCTGAACACAGAGGCAAGAGCTCATAACAAACCTTGAGATGCGCCTTCTCTGCTGGCTACACTTTTAAGTGTTGCAGCTATTTCTGCTTGCAGGACTGTTAATTATGTGCTGCTATAATCTTCTTGAGGGATGCGGGTGGCGCTGTGGGTTAAACCACAGAGCCTAGGACTTGCCAATCAGAAGGTTGGCGGTTCAAATCCCGCGACGGGGTGAGCTCCCGTCACTTGGTCCCTGCTCCTGCCAACCTAGCAGTTCGAAAGCAAGTGCAAGTAGATAAATAGGTACCGCTCTGGTGGGAAGGTAAACGGCGTTTCCATGTGCTGCTATGGTTTGCCAGAAGCGGCTTAGTCATGCTGGCCACATGACCCAGAAGCTGTCTGCGGACAAACGCGGGCTCCCTCGGCCTATACAGCGAGATGAGCGCGCAACCCCAGAGTCGGTCACGACTGGACCTAATGGTCAGGGGTCCCTTTACCTTTAATAATCGTCTTATGCTGAAAATTGTGGGAAGAAACATGTTAACCTGCACAGCTTGAGAAATCCAATGGCCAGCTTCATCTCGGAAGTGTAGTTCTGAGCACCTTTTAGAGTAAGAGCACATTTAGCATAGCACACCTGCTGAATTGGGGAGGAAGAAGCTGATTTTATTATTATTATTATTATTATTATTAAACTTTTTACATTTTGCATTTGTCCATTTGATTTAATAGACCCTAGTCTGCACAATTAGTCAGCTTCTTTGTTTTTTGTTTGTGTTTCTTTGCTAATGAGGGGCAAGGAAAGGCTGTGTTCCCTGTTTGAGTTAATTACAATTGTTAAGGAAATGACGGGCTAAAACATTCCTGTCAGTCATTGACTTTCTTATCAAGGTAGTTTAAAAGTGCTACTGCAGGAGTGAGAATAATTAAATTTTAATTAACTCTTGGAAGGGTGAAGAGATTTCTTAAGGCAGGAACCCTTCCATGAAAGTGTAAGTTTAGCTACCAGGCACCGTTTTTTTATACTAAACATAAACTTTTGTATATATCCTGTGCAAAAGAGAAATTTGCTTTCAGCTGAGACATTCTTAAGCACTTGTGTTATGGTGGTAGTGATGGAGGACAAATCCATTTCAATAAATTTGTGCTGGAAAATGGACAATTCCGGCTCAACCCCACTTTGCCAAGAAGTGGCTGACCTTGCCTTCCTGCACCAGAGACCTTCCTTTTCCCACAGAGCTGTAGTTCTGGAACTTCCTGGAAATCAAAGCCCAAGGTCTTGGTCACTCCAGAAAATGCATTCAAGTGGTGGCAGAACTCTGCCCTGTCTCAGGCTTACTGGCAAAAAATGCCAGTAAATGCCCTGGCCATGAAAAGAATGAAGTCATGTGTATTTTGCTTCCATGCACTTCTTCATTGAAATCTTGTAGAACAAAGGTTGCTATTCCTCAGTCACCTTCAGTTTTCCTACCATGTTCCTCAATTAACCTACACTTCATTTATAATAAACTTCCACATTTCATCTCCTAATTTAACTTCACATCTTGATATCACCTTAGTATACTAAATAAACCTGTGAATTTGTTCATGTACAGGGCCAAAAATAATTTTAAGGTGCTCTTATAAATTAAAAAAATAATGATGAAAAAGCACAGGGGGCTATAATGCTGAAGAGATAATGATTACAGGAAAAGCTGGCTCTTTGGTGTGATTTACTTTCACAACATGGAGCTTTGGGTGTTGGTGGAACAGATTCCATAAGGATGTGACTAGTACAGCTCAGGGAAGTCCAAAATTCCCATCCCCAATAATTTTGGCTGTCTCAAAATTACTTTGCTTTTTCTCAAAACGATTCAGCTGTTGGGCCAAAATAAGAACTTCCCAATTCACCTCAGATTTTGTTTTATGCAAAATCCAGTGTCAAGTGATGAATATGTGGTTTACCTTTGAGAAACCCTTTCAGCTTCCTTTAAAACCACACCCCCCTCCCATATCTACTTCCAGTTTCTCTTTAGGGAAACTTCTGGCATTCTGCCTCAATTAGTCACTTCCAGTGTTTCTGAATTGCAACGGAAGGGCAAACAATGACTTTGAGATTCCAATTGGTAAGAAAAGTTGTTTCACAATTTCCCAAACAGGACATGCCACCGACAGTATTTCTTGCTCTATTTTTCTGCATTTTGGGGTTTTCATTCAGCCAGCTTTTCCATTTGCCATCTCCACATCTTACTCCTCCCTCCTATGATGGCAATGTTAAAATTATTTTGAATCAAATAAGAACCCAAAGGGAGGATAGGAGAAAGTGATGTGTTGCCCGAAAGGTTAATGCTGCTAACGGTTACTAAGGAGCCACTGCAAAACCTGTGGCAGGCATCCATTTTAACATTATAATATGCTTTTGGTCTTCCCCATCCTATGCTTCCATTTCATAAATCTTTAAAAGCAACTAAATCACATCAGCAGTTTTCTCCTTTCTCATCAATATTGGCAGCATTGGCTGATGCACATTAACAGTTTTGCCTCATCAGTTTATTTAAAAAACTTAAACCATTCTTTCAAATTTTTGATGCTCATTATCTGATCTGTCTCATTAGTTTCTCTAAAAGCTAGTGGAAATTGTATTTTTGCTAATGTTTCTATTAATCTCATCTTTTGACAATTTTTCACATCAGAGATTCCATGCAATACAATAATGGAGCATAAAATAAAGAAATGGCAATAACTTGAACATTGCATTTTACTTTGGGTTCTTCTCATTTCTTTTATCTTCTCTTGTTTTTCATGTCCGATACTGTCTGCTTAAAAGAACTGCTTATATTTTCAGTCTTGGCAATTACTATTCCCTACTTCAGTTAATTACAGACTAGTAATATATTATGGTGCTCTTGATTAAATGTAATGTGCAAGAGATGCTCATTCGTTTCTTACGCAAATGAAGAACTATTCTTTATTGTCATGAGTTAATGTTGCACAGGTTAGTGTTGGAACTGTGATTTTGAGGCTGCGAGGCAATGTGTCTCTTGGCTTAAGGAGGCTGCCTGGAGTAACTAGTCTCCCTGCAGTTCTGAGCTCTGGTTAGAGGTGGTGGGTGCTGAGTGACATACACAGGCTAAATGTGACATTTAGCTGAGCTCAAGTTCTGACATAGAACATAAGAATTGCCTTTCTGGAGAATCAGAGAATTGTAGAACTGGAAGGGACCACAAGGGTCATCTAGTCCAACCCCCTGCAATGCAGGAATCTTTCACCAAACATGGGTCTTGAACCCACAACCCTGAGATTAAGTGTCACATGCTCTACTGACAGAGCTATTCAGGGGAGAATACCAAAGTTCACTGAGTCCATAATTCTCTTTCCAACATTCGGAGTCCAGAATACTTTTACCCAGTTTTTACACAAGGACATTGTGTCCCCACCCCACCCCGTTCCCACTGGGAGAGATGAAACACCAGGGAGATTTGCTGGATTCTATTCCAGGCCTGTGCTGGGCAAGGAGTCCTGCTGCAGGCTGTGAATCGTGAGGTGACCCTGTCTGGAAAAAACTGGGATATCCCCCACCCCATCGGAGGAAGCACTGCAGCCCCTGGACTACCTCCAAAGTGTGGATCACTTTCATTTCCTGTTCATTTGACTTTCATTTTTCCTGCTCTGCAGGAGCTCCCTGAGTGAGGATGGCTAATCTTTATCAAATTGCTAAAGGCCCATGAAGTTTGGTGTGGATGGGGAAGAGAGGGGTGCAAACCTCACCCAACCCCATCATTGAGGCCATTGGTTCAGACGCAGGAAGGGTGGAGGCAGGCCTGTTTCCCCACCTCCCCCAAGCAGAGCACAGTTTCCAGATCTGGAGAAGGAGGGGAAGAAGGCTTTTGCGTCCCACTCTGAAGCTGAACTGAGGAGTGGCGTGAGAGGAGGGAGACAGATGGAGTAACTGAGGATCAAAAAAGGCCCGGTCTGCATTGCCTCACCTGTGGCCCAATTCTTGGTCCCACTGGAGAGTGACAGAACAGGAGGAGAGCAAAACAGAAAGTTGGGAATTGACTATAGATGGAAGAACAAAAAGCTTTTGCAGAAATGGTTCATATTTTTGCTGGAAATGCATCAGACAGCTTCAGATTAAGAACTGTTATATTAAATGATTTCAACAAAGTGTGTTCTCCTTCATGGAGAGGATGTGTTGCAGTGGGGGCAAACAAGACACCCCTCTGTTGCTGGGTGGGTTAGTTTGGATGGCCACGAATCTTATTGGGCACCTCTTGGTAGTTTGGGAGAATTTGATGTTGCAATTTATGATTGATGGCCAAGGGACTATTTACTTCCTGTGCACAGTGTTGAGCTGCCTCTTTTCGCTGCACACATCAGATCACCCTCCCACCCTCCCTATATTTAGGGCTGTTTGCTTTGAACTTGCTATGCCTGTCATGGGGTCATCTGCTTTAAGGCAGGGGCCTGGTAGGAATTTTTTTCCATTTGGCTGATTGGCCGGTGCCATTTGGTTTTTTGCCTACCGTGTAGCAAAATCATCACAACTTGTAAGGTTGCAGTTGGGCATTGGTTAAATTTGGTTGGTGGAGGGGGTATGGTTGGCTGTGCCTGCCCATCCAATGCTGCTGCTGCAAGGGAATTCCGTTAAAGGAATCCAGGGGCCCACCATGCTCTTGTCCAAACCCCTGTCAAGGAGCTAGGGCCACGCAAGAGCCCCTGGGAGCATTTGGGAGAGGTGAGGGCCTGGCCCCCAGCTCTATTCTCTCCCCAAAATGTTTTCCCTTAATGACTTTTGCAGGCTTGCGGATGTCAGTTATGTTCCTACCTCTAAGTGGGAACAGATAGTCACTAACCAATGCCTAAGCAACCACTCACATTCTGTAATCAATAAAGTTGTGGCCAAAAAATTACGACAAAAACCTTAAACAAAAATTCTGTGTGAATTGTGTTTTATTTGAGGGTGGCTTGGGAACCTTGACACGCAACGTACGCCTAAGGCATTTTTAAAACTTGGGTATGTACAGTAATACAAAAGAAAGAAAGTTTGGGTAAAAATAGCAGCATTTGTTAAAACAGATCTTTCATAAGTCCAGTGCATAGAATCGATACCCCATGGAGGTGTTTTCATAACCTTGGTAGCATGCTATTTTATTTAAGGAGATGGGGTTATAAAGAGCAAGTACTAGGAAGCTAATTGGTGAGGATGTGCTGTTTCTTCAGTAATGATTTTTCCCATTCCTGGGACCTTTTGTAGAGCAAATAATATGGTTATGGTGGGAGCTCTGGTTGGAGCTAATCATCACTAAGAGCTGTGGTCAGAAGGTAGGTAATCTAAAAAAGAAATGGATGGCTGGGGGAGCAATTAAATACGTGTTTTCCCAAACAATGTAGCTTGAAAGAACTCCTACTGTAATTTTCTCATTAAACCTTAAGAAGGCCTAAATTATTCATTGTGCTTTTAATAGTTATCTTTTGAGCAGGTATTTAATCACAGAAGGTATTGAGGGGAAGGAGGCAAACAAACTGCACATCAGACCAAACAGTTAGCATCCTTCTGACAATTGCAAGTCATGTGTTCATGCCTGGCTTCTCAGATACCCCACATTTACATCTTTGTTAACTTCCAAACATAGGAGCTAACTCCTAGGGGCCACACCCCCCCCCCCCCGCATAAAATATTTTTAGAAAGCAACAAAACAAAACAAAAATATAGATCATGGACATGGCAGGTATACAAAAGAAGAAAATAGCATAAATTTGGGGTTTACGATACTGAATGTATATATAAAATATACATTTTAAATAAGTAAGTAAATACATAAAATGAGCATTAACATCTAATTATAAAGAAACGAGGGGGGGGGGAATAGGCAAGTCATTGTAAGGCAGGGTAAATACTAGTTAAAGCACTTCCAGATGAATGCATACTTTGTGGGGACTATATTGAGATGGGGTCATTATTAAGATACGTCATAAAGGCCCATCAAATACGCACATAATCCTTAGGTTCTGTAGTTCTGCACAGCTCACTCAGATGATAGATTTTTCCATGTCTGCAATATGTACAATCTTTTAGAGCCAGTTATCAATTGGGAAATTGCACTCTTTCCATCCCTGGCAGGCTGCCCCTACAAGATAAAGCACAGGTGGTTTTATTGTTGCTGAGGAGTCGCTGCCTTTAAATAGAGCAAGGAGGCATGGAGCGGGAGCTGGCTGAGCCAGGTTACCATAATGTTGCAAACTGCAGTCCTCAGAGTATGGACCAATGGGCAGATCCACCACTGATGTCAGTTTGTACCAGGGCTGCACAGTGCAGTCAGCCAGACTTATTCCCTTTGAATATGCACCGTTTGCATAAGTTTGAGGAACTATCTAGAACAATTTCATGGTGTTTTCTCTAACAGAGGCTCGAACTGAATAGAATGGTTTTGTGAACCAAAATTTATTCCATTTCATCATATCAATTTCTTCCCCCAAGTCCTCTTCCCATGCTGACTTCAATCCAGTCAACAAGGGATAAAATTGAGAAAGGAGCGCTGAGGATATTTGCAAAACTAGTCCCCTAATACATGAAGTTGGAAGCATTATTATATGTTTAAATACAGACACAGGTCTGTGTAGCAAAATACATATACCAGGGGATGAAATGAAATAAAGTATTTGCTGTCCATAACCAGCTGAGTTTGGCATCTATTAACCATGTAGAATGTTGATTATGTATGTAAGAGCGGAACAGACTGGTCCTAAAAAATTATTGGAGAAAAAAAAATACTTGGGTGCATTTCCTGGAAAGAGAACGAAGAAGAGAGAAACCCCAAAGTGGAAGTTCAAGATTTAAGGAATCTTCCATTTTCACCCAGAGGACAGAGACATCATATTGTACTATGGGCAATAATTGTCACAATTTAAAACAGTCAAAATAAATTTGGACCTGGGGAGGAATTCCCTAGGCTCCAAATTTAGTCTGTAAATAAAAATTAGACGCAGCCAAGGGAGATCTTCTAGATACAAAAATGAACTTATTAAACTTTGCTTGTCAGGTCCTAATTACTGTGGGTGGAATATAAATGGGAAGGACTTGAAAACGAAAAAGGAGATGAGGAAGGGCCATCATTTTCATGGATGCTATTCATCCCAGAAGAGAAGGACTTCGATTCTGTCCTTCTAAATATGAAAATCAGCTTTTATCCTTTTGGTAACTGGAGGGTTATTTTAATGAAATATTTTTTAATAAATTTCTAGATCTCTATACCCCTAGATACTTTAGGGAAATGGAACATATCTTAATGTCTGTGACCCACTTAGCAAAGAGCTGTGCTTCTGGGCTTCCTTCCCTGAAAGTGGTCTCAGATTTTTAGCCCCTGAGCGAAGTTGTTTGGACACCAGGCAATAGGAATCCCTGGGGTCATAAAGAGCTACTGATTCCCCTCCCCTTTAGTGCACTTTTCCCGCCCCGTCTTGTTTTCCAGTTCTCAAAATCACCATAGATTGCCCCTTCTTTCCCCCTAGCAACTTGGATAAATATTTCTTGTGGTGGGTCCTCCTGAGATCAGGTAGTCCTTGCAAGTTGTTTTCTGAAGAGGCTACCACACAATAGGTGGGGGTGGATGTTACAGAATTCCCCCTGCCCACAAGAGGCAAATGTGAAAACCTTGCAAAGAGGCTTATGCATGTCTCCTGGCTAATGACCAGGCATTCTTTGAGAATTCCCAGACCCTTGTTCATCTTAGTCACCCTCCTCTGCACATGTTCCAGCTTCTCAACATCCTTCTTAAATTGTGATGTTCACAATTTGTTACCTTCACAGTCTCTTTAAAAAAAGAAAAATGGAAGCATTTTTGGCTCAAACATTTACATTTGGAAGAAAGAATGACCAAAGACGTGATGTGAATTAAGATATTATGTGTGTTTTCCAGAATGTTTCAGAAATGTATTATTGTCTTCTAAAATGATCAGCATTTCTCCTATCTAGTCCTCATTACCACCCCCCTTCTGCTAGAGGCGATGTCTACAGCTGTGAATACAAGAGAGCAAAATAAATTTAGCTCTGAATTCTCCTGCTGTTTTGATGAATTTTTTCTTCCCCTCTCAATGGCAGCCGGGGGGAGGGGGTCCCACTAGGCCGTGAGAATCCCTGATGCATTTGTGCATGTCTCCATCCATGGCTATGTCTCCATTTCTCTGCTTAGCAGAATTTTTGTTTCCCCAGACCAGTTGCTCATTCCCTTTCAAAGTTATGTATGCATGCAGTTAATGTATGATTTCTGTGGCCTTCAGCTGAAAGGAATCGTTGCTTGCCTCACACTGACCCATGGAGGGTGCTTGAGTTTTTGGAT